ATGTTGAGCACTTTTTCATGTGCCTGTTGGCCATTTGGATGTCTTCTTTGGAGAAATGTCTGTTCATGTCTTCTGCCCATTTCTTGATTGGATTATTTGTTCTTTGGGTGTTGAGTTTGATAAGTTCTTTATAGATTTTGGATACTAGATGGGAAAAATTCTTAATCACCCTCAATCTTAATATAGTTGAATAACTATAAATTGGAGATGACAGTATATTCCTCTATAGTTTATTGGTGAATAAAATGAAATATGCCCAAAGATAAAGTGCTTAGAACAGTTTCTGGAACAAAGTAGTAATAATTATTAAATTATTAAAGTAATAACAATCATTTTTGTTATGTTATGCATTATCTTATTTGAAGATTTTCAGGAGAGCTACCACTGGTTGCTGTACCATATGCAGAAATTCTTCTCCTGAGCCATCTGTGTCTTTTTGTCACAAGGCCTGTGAACTGTGTAATGATGACATTTGCCTGAGAACCAGAACTCTTAAAGCCAGAGTGATGTCCCAACCCCCACCCCTCAAACATATTTGTACAAATCAAGACAGGCTAGACTGTTTCGCAGTAGCAAAGACATCAACATTTCAGGGGTGTCATGAGACAGTAGTTTAGCTCTTTCTCCCACAAAGAACACTGTAGACTCTACAGAAGTTGTAAGCCATAAGCTGTGAGCCAACAGTCAAGCTGCACTGATGTCATTGTTGTCTTTCACACTGGAGCTAACTCACTATATCTCCACCAGTTACTATCATCTCTTCCCAACATGAGATTCAGTGGCATAATGTTGGTAGCTTGAAATCAGGAGTCATTTACTCCTCAGAAATCAGCAAATGTTACTAGAGTTGTGTTTTCTTGTTTCAGAAAGCTGGTTGCTGAACATTTAACAGCACACTTTACGTTAATAAGCACTTTTATGAGCTTCCTTGCAAAGTAAGAACATGGAAGTTCCCACACTGGCTTCTGAATGCTTCCAGCTAGAATTTAAATGATTCAAAATAAGTAGAGAAAGTTATGGAGGTACTGTTTAAGATGGGGTGAATAAGGAAGGCCTTTCTTCAAAGAACAAAATTTAAGTAAGAAGGCAATCCACTTCCTCAAAGGGAAAGTGGAAATAGAAAAATTCTGAAGTATGTTTGAGAAATAGTGGGGATGCAGCACAGTTAGAGAATTATATGAAGAGTCGTCAGAGATGAAGTCAGAGAGGTAGCCAAGAGTCAGTTCTTGTAGGGCTTCATGTGCCTACGTAAGAAATCTGGACCTTATTCTAAGTAAAATGAAGATCCACTGAACAGTGTTGAGAAGGGCAATGACATTATGTGACTGCAGATTTTAACCACCACTTATAGCTGTCCTTTTAAAGAATGTTGTCCCTGTTTCTGGATTAAGCAATGGCAGGATGGTTAAGTATGATTTCCTGAGCCACAAACACTAGAGGAAGAGCAGGGTTTGGAGGGCTCAAGTGCAGGATATTCGTAAGCTCAGTTCTTTGTGCCTGTCAGACCAGGATCTGAGTGTTGTGCAGAAATAGGAAACTATAAGATATGTTGATATATTTTATTCATGTATGTTGACCTACTTTAGTTTGAGCAATACACTGTGATGAGCATAGAAAATAGAAAGATGTTCAACATTTGTGTGAGGGGCAAGATTTGTACGCAGTATATTTAAGACAATTTCCTACAATGACCTTCACAGAAAAGGAAAAAGATTGAAACCAATAAGCTTGGAAACTCAGTGGCTCTGAGGCCATTCAATCAGGATAATAGACTATTTCAGATATGTCCTTGAATAAGTACGCAGAATGATTCACTCTGTGAAAGAATGCATCCACGCCTGAGGTTTGGTCTCTGACTAGTATGCTTTCCTAGATTCTCCTCAAAGAATATTTTCTCTGATTTAAATTTTTTTTTTCCCAGGTGCCATCACTTATTCATCCCATTTATCTGAATTTTATTTATGAAATTCTTTTAAAACTTGGTCCAGGGACCATTTATTTTAATTCAGTGCATTAGTGGGCAAAATATGGACAGTTCCTGTTCACACCAAAACAGTTTTCTATTAGTGCTTCTCTTCCATCAAATCATTAGGCATTTTTGATGCTTTTGTAATTACACAACTTGACTGTTATAAATTGCTACTTGCCCAGACACTTCTGGGGATATTCTCAAGGTTTGTTTTCATTTGTTATGTTTGAATATGATGGACAGATCCAAGATTATTATCTATACTCATTCACTTTAATTGAATATAATTTTGAATGATTATTTTAGTTTTAAGAGTTTCCAAACACTGACGTTATCATTCTCTTTGTGGTGAAGGAGGGTAACGCATCCCTTCCCTTGCCTGTAGCAGGGCTTTTATCCGTGTGCAGATGGAGCTCAGAACCCAACATGGCCATATTCCTGAAGGGCCACAGCCCTCGATAGTGTTTTCTGTGGTGGGGAAGCTTGTGCACCTGAGGATAGGGGATGTTGTTGGAGGCTTTTGTTCATCTTTCTGTTTTGCTCTTCATTCTTGTTTTTTGATTCAAATACTGTCTTTTCTCTCAATGAGTCTTTGTTTTGCAGTACAAATTAAAAAGAATAATGGATTTTTTTTTTAGTAAATGTTAACATAATCAAAGAAATTATAAGCTGACATTAATTCATTAATTCTAAGCAACT